CCCCTCAGGATTTCTAGTGAGATGAGAAAGTATTAATAACTCAATATTCTAGAAATGTTGAAATAATATTCTTTGAAGTAATTTTTTTCTTATTGGAATTCCATCAAGTAAGAATTACTGCTGCAGGAATATGGATGGACTGTGGTCAAAATATGTTTCCCCAAATGTCCCTACTTAGTGTAAGTCCTTATTGCCTAGATACTGGGTGATGATAGGTCAGTTTGCTCAGGATAATCCTGGTTCATGCCTGCTGTCTGGGTATAATTATTACCAGACCCTCTTTCACTTGCAAAAGGGTCCTCATTTGAATGAAACCATACAAAGATAGCTCCTAATTCCTGGAAAATGAAAGGAATTGATTGGAAGTGTATGTGGTAAATTGTTAGATAAAGCTTACTGACTTCACCTTTAACAAAAGAGTTTAACAATAAAACCAATCCGGTTGTACAACTTCCTGATCAGAAATTACGGGATTTCCATGGATCCTATTTAAAAACTTACTTTCTCTCATGAGATATAATCATGCAACTTCCAGAACTAGACACAGAAAGATTTTAAAACTACCTTGTATTTATACTTTAGAAAGCATTTCCCTTCTAGAGCAACCAAGAAAAATACTTCCTTCTGTCACACACACCTCAGTGTACATACGGAAATAGGCACACATACGCTAGACGGGAGGAAAAAAGCAATTATGTTGTTATAAATCTGCAACGATGCAAAACATCTACTAGCATATCCGAATCAAAAATAGCACCATCTTACCTGAAGTTCCTGGGAAGCAGATTGAATGGACAGAAAAACAAATAAGAGGTCTATTTAAAATGATTATATTACAGATACTCAAGTGCATTTGTCTTAGTTTTAATACAACAGCAACAGTACTAACAATATATACTTACATAGATGCAACTTAAAAAAATGATAAAGATACATAAACCCCAAAGAGAAAAATCAGTATCAAACACCAGATATTCCAAACCTCTTAGTGGTGGATGATGTAGTTGGTAACACATCACAAATGCAATTTCTGAAATAGCCTTCCACTTCAGTGAAAACTTTGATCTCCTCAACACTTTTTTTTTTTGGAATGCCTACATTTCTATTTAGGGGAAAATTATGGAATGTCACGGGAAGACGCATGGGGGTCATCAGCTGGGAAAAAAAGGTGACATCACCTGATCCTGCTCACAAAGCCAGAGGTGCGTGTGATCATGATTTGTTTCACTGCTGATGTGCAATTAATAGCAAAGACACAGCACCTTTTAAAGATTCAGAAGAGTTCAAAGGCAAACCCTTAAATATATTAGTCAATACATTCTGAGGCTATTTGATGAAAAGGAACAGACATGACAAAAAAATTCTCTCTCTCTTTTTTTTCTGATAAATGTGTTTTGATCTAGAAGTCAAATATGCTTAACTTTCTCAGATGAGGAAATACTGAAATTATTCACCAATGCCAGTACAAAGGAACAGACATTTAGAAGGCATACTATGTACATGGAGCTATGTGAAAAGCTTTGCCCAGGTCATCTTAGTGGAGCCTCACATCAACTCTGTGGGCCTGTACTGTCACACCCATTCAGCAGAGGAAGATGCCAAGAGAAGCTGCATCCATGCTTAAGGTCATGCAGCTGGGTCAGTGGCAGAGTTGAAAGTCACAGTTGGACCTGTCTGGCTCCAAAGCCCAGGCACTTTCACGCCACCACTCCGCAAGCACGCTACAATCTCTAATGATAACCTTATGGAGAAGTAGCAAAACATTCTCAAATGGTTTATTTATTTGGAGAAAATCTATACTTTCACATTCCTGAGTTTCTTATAAAATCTTAATCACACAAGATCAAATAATCCCTATGATTTTTTAGTTCTTGGTGGCTAGGACAAAAAAACTCTAGAAGGAAGGTGCAGTATTCATTATTTATCATCTCTGAAAAACATTAGTATAATGTTTATTTTTAAGTGATAGGCACCTAAGGTTTTCCTTACTTTGTTTTGATAGAAAGTAAATTTGTTAGTTGTTCTGAAATTGTGTCTGATTCCTCTACATCATTCTTGCTAGGTCCCTTCACATAACACCTTTTCTTTGGCTGAGACTGAAAAACAATGCCTCTCTTGTTTCATCAGTTTTTCCCTCCTTATTTTAATCTCCAGAGTGAAGAGGATGCCCAAGCTTGAATTCTAGCCTAAAAACAAAGGTTAGGTCAGTTGCCCAGATCAGAAAGCTCATCTTTTAACATTCCATATATCCCCTGGATCACTTCAAAACTATTCAAAACAGTTGTATTTTGCATGAGACTTTAAATAATTCTCACCACATTTAATGGCTGATTTCTTTATCACTAATAATAGTTAAGTCAGAAAATGCTGCAATACTTTTTACTGGTTCTAGAACAATTCAAGGTGAAAAGCTGACACTTATTTTAAAGGTGCCTTGCAGTCAATGCCTTTAGACTCTTTAAGGACTGGGTCTGCTAACTTGTTTTCCAGGGAGAGAATTGGTAAAGAAAACATTCTTCATTCTGAGGACAGGATGCTCCCTTGCTGGCGCAGACAGCCAGGGCGGTCAGTGGTCCAGGAAGGACAAAGGTGGCTCGCTCCTCAGCCTCCCCTGGACATGAGTGGATTGATTAACAATCGTATCCTTGGAGGGAAGGTAAGCAGCCACTTGAAGCATCATTTTCCTAACTTAAGTTCGGAGGTGCCTACCTGCCAAAGGCTGTATCAGCTTTGGCTCTGGGCCTCCATTTTAACTGCATGACTAGCAGAAAGCCCTGTCTTTGTCTGGGAAATACAGCACGCTCAGTGAAATGTGAGCTCAAGTATGTGAAGCAGCATCGCATGCCAGGCTGGGGACCAGGTGGACAGATGCCAGTCTCACTCCAGGGAACTTAAGTGTTAATCCCAGGAGGCGGAAGGCTGCCCCTCAGCTGGAACATGTCCCCGAGCTGCTGAAAATGGCGCCCCTCCTTCTGATCCCAGTTTTCAAAAACATGACTCGTAACTGAAAGCACCTTATTACCATGATGAGCGTTCACATAAATGAATCTGCATTTGCCTGTTGAGACCTGAATTCAGTCGCTCCAGGTGTCAGGAATGCCAGCTCCCAGCCAAAAGTGGAGCCAAGAGCTCTCTCGTGTGTTCCATCTAGCTTCCATTTCTGACAGCTTCATCAAACAGCCCAGAGATGCCGGGGCCCTCAGGCTCTGACCGCATGTGGCAGCAGGCAAGCTTCAAAGTTATCAAACTCGAGTGATGTCACATTTGAAATAGTGACATGCTTAGCATGTTTTACGCAGGTACCAGAGAACAGGCTCAGACCTGGAGTGTACCTGTGATTTTTTTCTGTTTGTTTAAGTTCATCTTTGGGCTACACACACACACACACACACACAGTCTCCGTGTGGTCATTCAAAGTCAGATCTCTGCCATTTAGAAAGAACTTGGCCGCTCTGGCTGTGGACTCAGACAGGAAGGGTGTGGCGACTTCTGCCAAAGTTAAGCTGCCGTACTTTGAATAAGTCAATTCAAAATAAAGTTTACAGCTCTCCAATTAAAGAACTCATTACTTAGCAAGTAAAAGAAACGGTTTTGTGAGTCAAGGGAAAGGAGGAGTGGATCATTCCCACGGAGCCTCCACCCTACCTCTCCGTCCTCCAGCTCCACGTCTAGGAAGTCGAAGTCTCGGAAGACCCGGAACTGCTGCTCACTGTTGCTGTCATCCGTGTTCTCCTGCTCCCGGGCGCCGTCCTCGGAAGACACCAGGCTCGCCTGGTGCTCCAGCAGGTCCAAGTCCCCGCACGAGGAGAAAACCACCTGCGGACCGAGAGTACCCCCCTGAGAAACCGCTCTCCCTCGGGTGTTTGTGCTGCAGAAACTGTAATTGGCTCCTCGTTGCACTGTATTTCCAGTACACACCTAATTCCTTAAGTGGGTATTTTTAGACCGCTCTTTTATTATTTATGTTGGACAGGTGCCTTCAGATTAAACTCGTTGCAAAGACGCAAGTTCTCGCACTAGGAAAATGTTCGAGTCAAATCGCGGCTTCTTAGTGGATGGAAACAGGATCCTACCTGTGCGTGCGTGTGCGTGTGGGGTTGTATGTGTGTGTGTGTGTGTGTGTATGTGTGTGTGTGGCAACTGAGCATGTGTTCACAGACTGGAGTATACAAGAAATTTTCCATTCTTTCTGAACTGACTGAGGTTAGACATTGAACACATTCATTCACACACACACACACGCGCACTCTAACATGTAATATTTTAAGGACTGCTGATGCCAAGATATGTTATCGTAGAATGAACTGTGAGAGCAAAGGGTTTAACCCTTTTAGAGATAAGCCAAGAACTGGGAAGGAAAAAGAAGCAGAAGCCAAAAAGTACAGTACTTGTTCATTTGATCACGTAAGAGGAAATGAGCAGCCGTGCTCATAATTCCTACTTAAATTCGCGACCTGTTGATTTAAACAAAATATAACTTTTTTCTCCCATGAAAACTGTAGTATGTTAATATTTTAAAATTAACTTCTTTGTTTAGGTTCTTTTCACTGGGCCATTTTAGTAGAACTTTGCAGAAATAATAGACTAAAATGAACCTAAATGTTTTGCCATCCAGCCTCTCCTGAACATAGACTGATATTAAATAAAATGAACAGTATTCCTTATTCAGCCATTATAACGTCTTGGTCTTTCTTGAAAGTAAGGAAGTCATTTATTAGAATTTAAAGGTACCAGATATCTCTCCAAAGTGAAAAGAGTGAATGGATTTTCAGTATGCTTTATTTTCCCTCCAGTGTTTAAGAACAGGCCTAACACTATGTTCTCACAAAATGGTACGAGACACACAGTCGGTGCAGGATTGCAAGTGCGCACATGAGATAAACAGCACCAGGACCAGACAGCTAGTCAGTGAGAGATGAGACTAGAATTCTGATTTCTTCAGCTGAAGGCTCCCTCTCTCAGTTGGTGCTGCTTCTCTTATTTGTAACATGGTCCAGGTAAACATTTCCAGCTAGAAAGGCCTCAGCACAGAAGCAGGCAGCTGGGATCTCGAGGAGAAAGTGCAACCACAAAGCTGTAAGAAACGGCCCTCGCCGGCTGTGCTGCGCCGCACAGGCTGTCCTGCTCCTCTCCCTTGGGCGCTCGGTGGCTCCGTCTGCCCGGCCACTACTGCCTCGTCCCTCTGCTCTCAGTAAAGTCACAGGAGCAGCAGAAACCCACTGATCAATTATTCAGAAGGTGACTTCAACGGAAGCCATGCTTCTGGCTGGGGTGCATTCCCAGAGGATGAGAAGTATCAGTTTGCACTTCAGCAAGTCTTTTTGTCTCATACATTTCTCCTGCTCACCAACTACATTAGTACATACATTTTGGAATTTTAAAAGTAGCTCCACAGAGAAATTGTTTGCTAGTTCTTTTTACCTGGGAAATTATTTAGTTTGCTATTTCTGTTTTGGTTACTAATAAAGATGCTGTGATATACATGAAATAAAAATGTTTGGTGAAACCAAACCCTGAGATTTTTTACTGCTTTTGCTACAGTATACTTTCTCACACACACAATTTGAATTTTCTAAATTTTATAAAAGCTTCAGAAACTAACTCCTAATACTTCAATTATTCATTTATTCCAGAGCCCAATGGCTTTTTAAAAAAACCATAACATCAGTGGAAGTTTATATGAGATAAAAAACATGATAGTATGTCATTATTTTCACTTCCATTGTACATGAGACATCTAATCACAGTAAGAGGTGTGTGCACAGAGAGTGAAATCACACCCACAAGGACTGTGTGTCATACATGGTGCTGCAGGAGAGTCACACATACATATTCTGAGGCAGTCTGAGCATACTTATTAAAAATCCAAGATATTAAAAAATGGAAATCACTGAGTATTTTAACAGACAGTGGAGCAAATAGCAAACAACATCTTTCACTGCTTTGAACTAAGATTAAAAATCATAGTGTGAAGAGAAACAATCTAGGGGTTTGATCTAGGTGGTGGATAGCATACTTGCAATTCATAGTTGACTCTTCTAAACTATTTAACCAAAGGCAAAAACAGACCAAAGGTAAAGATGATACGGTACCAAGATGTGATACAAGATAGAACTTACTGATGGATTTTTGCTTAATCCTACTTCTTGGCCACACAGAGAAAGGACGTGCACCAACTTCTCTTTTGTCCTCTTCTGGAAAAGAAACACACAGGCAGATTTTAATCTTGGGGTCCTGTGATCAAATCTGCTCTAAAACCGTAGTTTAACCCACCTGAAATGTGGCTGGTGAGAACTGAGATGCAAAATACACATACAGTTGGTATGAAAAAGGGATGTGAAATATCTCATCAATAATTGTAAAATATTGATTATATATTGAAAAAATAATATTTTAGATACATAGTTATAATATAACCTGTATTTAAGTTGTATTAGGTTTGGATATATTTTAGGTATATTATGTTAACTAAAATATATTATTAAAATGAACTTATACCTGTTTCCTTTTACTTAAAAAATTTTTTTTAAACTTTAAAAAATTTATTAATCAGTCTTTTTTTTGGGTGGGGAAGGTAATTAAGTATTTATTTTAAAGGAGGAACTGGGGATTGAACCCAGGACCTTGTGCATGCTAAGCATGGCACTCTACCACTGAGCTACACCCTCCCCGCTCCTTGAACTTTTTTTCAAAGGGGGACAATTAGAACATTTAAAATGGGGCTCACATTACGTTTCTACTGGTCAGTAAGGATCTAAGTTTTCCCCAGGGAGGGGGCATGACAATCAGTCCCTCGGTTCGGTAGCAGATACTCATTTCTCCCCTTGATCATCTTTTCCTGTGAGCTACAGTGTCCAGCACTCACAAGGGTCTCCTTACATCTAAGTTAAATCTATTATATTATAACACAAATCTGTTTTCCTCAAGTGGGAGGATAATTTTACTTTCTGTAGAGTTAAAAAATTCAATTATTTGCAAGCCATATTAAATCTTTCTCAATTTATTCTTCCTAAAGTTAAACAGATTCAATTCTTTATTTTTCTTCATAAACCTTAATCTTCAGTCCCTTAAGCATGGGGATTCTTCTGCAAACCACCACGTTTTCCAATGGCACAGATAAACTAGGTCTCAGAATGATCGGTGAGTTGATAATGAAAAGGATGAGTAACCAGAGCCTAAAAAAAAATGTTAAAGGTGCTTCAGAATTCCTCTTAAAGCAATCACTCTAATTTCTTGAAAATGATTTTTTTTTCTCGTTTAATCTCATTTAATAGGGAGACTGCAAGGAGGCTAAGATCACTCACAGGTTTTCCTTCCAAACAGAACTCGGTTCCCTGCGTCCTTCTTAAATTATAGATAGGACGCTCAATACATTATCATTTCAAGGTCAAAGACAGGAGGGCCTTGATGCTGAAGGACAACAAGAGATTTACTAACCTATTTCCCTAAGTTTTAGTGGGCATTTTACAATTCTGGGAAGGAGTCAACAAAGAGGAACACAGAAATGGACTGCACATTATTCTTCTCTTATCCAGCCCTGCAAGGAAGTACAGCGGGCTCTCTGTTCAACCATCAGTGAGCACTCACTGGGACCAGCTCTGCTCCAGCAGGCGCCGTGCTGTAGCGTACACTGTCCCAGCCTTGCAGAGTGAAGGTGAGTCCTGCTGGGCTTGCAAAGGGTTTTTCTCTGCTCAGCACCCACTTCCCTTCTTCCAGCAACGTGGTCCTCTTGTATCTTGGGAACGGCTCTTCTCCCACTAAGTGGGGCTTTGCCTCCCTCACACATACTGCAAGGGTCCTTTTTGCGGAGCTGTTGGGGACGTTGGGGAGGGAAGGCGTCTGTCTTGAAATCATCAGAGACAAAGACCACGGCAATCTGGAGCTGCCATGGTGCAGAGGCCGTGGTGCCTCATGTGGGCAGAGTCTGCCTGAGAGTGAAGTCAGCAGAGAGGAAAGCAGGCAGGGCCAAGATTTTGGGAAGGGACGGTGGGGATCGCGAGAAGGAGAGAGAGAGTCTAAGGGGTTTGTGTGCTAGAATGCAACTGTGCTCGAAGCCATGGTATATGAGTTAATAAATTCCTTTTCCACTTAAGGTACTTTCTCCCTGGGCTTTTGGCACATGTCACAAAAAGAGCCCCGAATGATACAGGAGTTTCACTTGACAGTAAGTCCAGTGACACCAGCACTGTGAAGCAGGCACTCCGAGGGTGGATGCAGTCTGGGGCTGTGGTAACAGAACCGCAGAGAAAGCCGGCAGCCGCTCTGCTCCGCAGGGCTCGGCCGTGCATGGAGCCCACGACAGGAGGGCAGGCTCGGGGGCAGCAGGCAGGATGGTCACTGGGGGTGCGGCCCTATCGCATAGGATTGGTTGGGAGAACTAAGGATGCACTTGGAGAAAAGAGGACTCATCTGGGTGAGGGGCAGAGGGGTGGCATTTCTTTAAGTGCCTGAAGGGCCGCCACTTGAAATTTCGATCAGATTTCATCTTCTGAGCCTCAAAAGAGCTAGGACCAATGAGCAGAAGCAACAAAGTGTCTGACTTCAACTCAAGGTAATGCACTGTTCAAAGATAAAATCTGCCCCCTCGGAAGCCCGTGAGATCCTCATCACTGCAGTGCTGACACCCAGACGGGCAAGGCTGGGATGGTGGACGCACGGACCCCGTATCACGCGGGCAGCTGGGTTCAGTAGGTCCCCTAGGCTCCCTTCCGATCCTGGGAGTCAGGACTCTTTACCTGAGAATACTGGGGCCTCTTCCAGCTTACAGGAACAAGGACATTGGAGTTGGAGCCTGACGAGGTGGAGGACGTGCTCCGGGTGACGGCCACAGCCCTGGGCTTCCCATCCCGCCCCGCAGAGTTCTGTAGCTCATCGTACCGCCTTCCGATGATGGGCGTCTCGAGAAAAAAGAGGAGAAAAGCACACGTTCTTCCGGCTCATTAATAGTTCTGTGGCATACGGATCACTCTGACCCAGCAGCCGCCAAGAACTGCTTATTGACTAAAACTCAGAGGAGTTCAGTGTTTCAAGGAGGCTCATTTTCCTGAAGTTCAAGTACACATCTAAATCAGTCAGCATCTTCAGCATTTTCCCACCCTCTTTAGTACCTGAAAACAAATCCAGTCGCTTGTTCTTAAACACACTTTAGAAACAACTGTAAAGATTAGAAGGAAAACACGCAGGAAAGTAGAGTCAGGTACCAGATGTTTAGGCCTGAAAGAATTTCTTAAGAGTTATAACAAGAGACCAAAATTTCTTCACCTCTTCCCAGCCTATAATCACCAGTCTTGATATGCTCTCACTTATTTAAAAATTTATTTAAATCATTTATATCTTTTCAATTATTTAAATGAATGAGGTCAGGGCCAGGTTCTTGGGCAGCACTTTAGAACTTTCACTTCCTTACAGTCCTGGAGTGTCCACTTCTCAAACCTGGGCCCCAGGGAGGTCTCCGCAGAAACCTGTTCGTAGGCCCATGGCAGGAACTGGCTGGTAATTCTCCACCTGTCTCTCAAGGCCCATTTTTCTGGAGCAGCTGGGACTCTGGGGCCTGCTGCTGACTGGCTAGGTGTTTGTACCTCTCTGGAACAAACTTAAGTCAAAGAGCAGAAGTAGCTTTTCCTCCAGCAACACAGAAAATGGAAAAATACTGATCTGATACCTTGGTATCATATACATACTGTACAGAGATGCAGGTATCACAATGACAGAAAACAGCATCTCATCCTGAACACCGAAGTAATAAAAGGTCAATCAGAGCACCGTGTGAAAAAACCCAACGGGGCTACCACTGACTTCACAGAGCGAGTAAGTTCTGTGTAAGCAGATGTGGTTTATTCCTTTAGTGAACTAACTCATCAGCTGAGTTGATGAATATTTATGAAGGACCCAGCATGTACCAGACACCATACCAGACCCTGGTTACAAAGTGGGCAGATCGTAGTTTCTGCTGATGGGGGGCTTACGGGTCGTGGGGTAAGAGAGACAGGGAAGCAAATGTACTTATACATCTTAGAGTAAACGAGTTAAATACAGGCCTCCCAAAAGTTCATCCATGGACCAGCTGGTAAACCTGACTATTTTCTGTCCCCTTTTCTTCCTGACTCCTTAGCTTGGTGCACAAGTCACGTCCCTCCACACTTCCCTCTGTCTCAAGCCAAGAATTTAGACGGTTTTACCGGTTTAAAAAGCAGTGTGACTTGGGGAGGCAACCATAAAGGCAGATTCTGTATTCCTGCAAATCTCAGTCATTTCCTTGTTTGGCTGAGGTTCAGGGAACAAGACTGCAGACACAAGAGGCCATGACAGCTATCAGACAAAGAATGAGCAAAGGTCATGGTTTAAAATACTTAAGATCATTCCATTTTCAAGTTCTCTCTCTTTTTTTACAAGCCACTTTTATATAACTGAGCTAGCTTCTGTTTTTAAAAGCTGCCAAATAAGAGGCCAGTGAATATGACCCTCAATGTGCTCTTAAAAAACAGAACTCAGTTTGGACTCAGAAGCTTTCATTTGATATAAATGTGAAATATGTCTCTCTTTCTCCAGGCAACTAGTTTTGACCTTTGCCACTACACAGTCATGCTAAAGTTTACAGAAATGATTAACATACCTCTGAAATATCAAAGTGGAAGTCCAGGGTTTTCCCAGGTAACTCCTTGGAGGCGCTAGTCCAGACTCGGTGTATTTCTATCTTTGAGAGCTCACTGTGTTGGTAGGAAGGCAAAACTAGGCTGGCAGATCGAGACACTACCAGCTTCAAAATATTCAAAGCCTCTCTCCAGTGAACACTCTGAAGGAAATAGAAGTCCATGGTTAAAAATAATTTCATTGAAAAAAAAACAAAACCAATACACCACTAGCAACCAAAACTTCTTATGACCAGCAGAATTCATTGATTTAAAGAGGTGTAGGACATTCTGTGATAAGTAAAAGGCAAATGAATTAAAAAGATAATTTGTATATAAGACGAGCTACGTTTAGGAAACAAGCTAATAAAAAAAGACTGATTCTGTCCACATTCAAATAAAAAAAGTTTAAAATAACCCTGTACAACTTTTGCTAATAAGGTACCTCCTTGATCTGAAAATCCAAACCAATCAAAAAACAAACAAACAAACACCCCAACAATCCCAACTGCATTTTAAGCTATGGACGGCTCCCGCTGTCTCAAGTCTCCCCACCTCCACCTCCGGGCTTCCTTGGTCCTGCTGCTGCCCTGCTCTTCCTGCTCCATGTGCCCCCAGGTGCCGCATCTCTGCCCTCAGCCCCCGTCTCCGCTTGCTCCGTGTCTGCCTTGAGACCTAACCCGGGAGGCTGGGAGCCATTCTTAGCCCTCTCCCTCTCTCCTGAGAATCTGTCCCGACGCTCCGTGCCTGCTGGCCCTGGCTCAGTAGAATCCTCTCTGGTCTCGACCTGAACTATTTCAGTGGCCTTTTAACTGGTTTCCCTGTTTGCAGCCTCTCCCGAGGCCCATCACACCCACTCCAACTACAGTGATCTTTCTAGAACTCTTCAGCCCAAGCCACTTCCCTGCCTAAACTCCTGCAAGGACTCCCTCTGGTGGACAGGGTGGAGCCCACACTCTTCCAGAAAGGCCTCCAGGGGTCATCTCCCTCAGGCTGCTCCTGGAGTCCCCCAAACCAGGCAAGGTCTCTCAGCCTCTGTGCCTCTGCTCATGCTAGTCCCTCATCCTGGAAGGCCCTTCCTCTCCTCGTCTTAGCAAACACCTACTCTTCCTGTAGGTCTCACTTTGTTTTACCATCTTTGTATCCCTGACAAACCCCCAGGCGGACGGAAGTACTTCTCCCACAAAAATATTGAACATAGATAAACTAGCATGAAAAAAGTTATTATTTGCCTAGGCCTTGAAATAAAAGCACATGAAATAAAACACATTTCCTTCACTGTTGAATTCTGCACATGGGAAGTCACAGTTTGAATATGAAATGAGCCACCATTCATGAGATCATAAGATACGGAGAACCAGGGATGGCCCATAGGCCTCAGACAGAAGAGGTAGCCTGAAAAAACAACTTTTTTTTTTAAAACCAGGGGCACATGATTAGTAGGAAGATGCGAACGGATTCTCTGCCTCCTGTGAGTGTAAAGTGAGAAAGTGATAATGAAAACCTACCAGTACATGGTACCACTGTTATTGGAGCAATGCCACTTGAAAAATGAAAAAAAAAAGCTTGAAAATTACTTTCAGCATTAATTTCTGCAAGTAATGTGATTGGTGAAGTGAGGATGGAAAAAAATGTCTAAAATTATACAACTTTGTCAATGAGTTTAACCAGAGAAAACCTAGCATTGCCCTCAAAACTCACCAAGTACCCTATGCTCGCTTGTTGGAGTATTTTCAAGTACATTTATGCCAGTTTCTTAAGCTTAGATCCTTCAGGTCTAGTGACAGTTTTAACCTCTGAATGAACCTTCGCATTGGAAACACCTGGCCTAGAACCAGGCCCACATGAGGTGCTTCCTCCTCCTCCTGTGAAATGGGACCATACAAACAAGACACTGCCCCTGCCCTCCTGGCCAGGAGTGTGCTTTCAAGAGCCCAAGAGGCAGAGCTGTGTCCTCTGAAGGCTCAGGAACGCGCTGGGGCCTGGCCCCATCCTCCTCCTCAGGACACCACTCAGGGT